GAAAATGTAACATTTTCTTTTTTTTAAACATTATAAATGTCATAAATGGATTGTTGTAAATGAGTACAAATTCTCTCAACTGTAGATATTTGAATAGTGGAGATATGATACAATTTGTGTAACAAGGTATCTGTGTTTCAGGATTTTTTGGGCATGTTTTAAAGGGCAGCCTCGTGATGTCACGCAGCTGCCTTCAGTATAACCCCGCCCCCTGTTGCTCTAATGGAAAAGAAAACAAACATTGTTTCCTCAATTACAGGAATATTCAGGGTTGTGGGCGTGGTTTAACCTCCTCCAGTGGACACGCCCCCAGCATTCCAGATCACAGCTAACTGATTTTTTTTCATTACTTTTAACACATAATTTTATAAGTTTAACATTATTTTTAATTGTTCGAACTTGGCTGGGTGATTRTTAACACATTTCTGTGGTGTGACAACCTCAGAACACACATTTATTTTTACTTTACACAGTCTTTAAATYAAGTAGCCATTAGARGTARSGCTAAAACTGATTAACTTTTCGAGCCAACATGATTCATGATGGCCCCATGGCCATCTGGCTTTACGGAACACAAAAACTCTATAATRCATTGAGTTTTACAGATGTTGAGCTAAGATTAGCTGTGGTAGTATCTTGAGTGTCATCCACAATGCATACTGTCAGTCATCGTTCATTACATTAGGATTTTTGCTCAGAACTTTAGTATTACACGTTGGAGTCAACAGGTTTTGTGAAATCAGAACTCTTGTCATTTTTCCACTCAGACTGTCAGAACCACCCATCTAAAATGTTTGACAGAACTTCAGGTGACTAACTCTGCTGCTTTTGTTTATGTGTTGTCAGAGGGGCYTTTTCCGAGGTGGTCCTGGCCCAGGAGAAGCAGAACGGACGGATGTTTGCGGTGAAGTGCATCCCCAAGAAGGCTCTGAAGGGGAAGGAGAGCAGCATCGAGAACGAGATCGCCGTGCTGAGGAAGTGAGCGCCGATGCACAAARACACAAGCTTACTTATTCCTGGTTACCGGGGCAACTGTGCATCTCCCCTTTCCTTTCCTTCTGTGCAAAGATACCCCTTCATCCCTCCCCCTGCAAATCAACCTTCCACCCCCAGGTCACGATCCACAGCCCACCTATTAAACACAGGGCTAGTCCTGGACGTCCTGGGGCCCTAAGCTGGATATGATTGGTATTTTGCCAACACTATAACATGTTTCATCTATGAACACAGTTGACTGTTAATGAAGCACAATCACTAGAACATGCAAAGCTGTCTATTCTTAGTGGAAGGATGTGGATCAGCGGTTGGAGCAGTCGTCCAATGAGTATAAGAGGTTTAATTCCTGGTAGTCACACATTGAGGTCATTCTAGGCAAAACCCTTTACCCCTCATTGCTTCAATCTGTGCCCCACTGGTGTCTAAATATGATCTAAAGCAGGGGRGTCCAAACTTATTCCCTGAGAGGGCCAAAAGGAAAATCTACTCAAGGGCTGCGGGCCAAATGCAGTAATGTAATTGAGGAAATGCATATACTGTACTTCTTAAGTAAAGTATTTTTACTTTTTATGATTTAGCCAAGAGCCAGTGCAGTGGCCCACYTTTTGTTTGTTTGTGTTTTTAATCCGTACACTTGCTCGAGCAGCAAAGGCTCATGGGACATTTCATATGTTGATAAAATATGAGTATTTGTAGTCTTATAAAGTTTTCAAATCTACATGTGTGCTTAAATCTAGTGTAAATATCTTCTTTGGTTTCTTGTATTTTATATTTAATCTTAATATAATTCAGTGGCAAAGTCAGCTATCTGTGCTACAGTCCCTTTTTAGTCATTAGGCCATTGGATGTAATTACTGTACATGGAAATACAAAGTTTCTACAGAGGATGATAGGCAATTAAAAACTGCTGGCGGGCCAAATCAAATGGCTTTGTGGGCCAATTTTGGCCCGCGGGCCCTACTTTGGGCACCTCTGATCTAAAGCACTGCTTAGACTCTATAGAAGGATTTATTCAGATGAAGTAAAACCTGGTATCATGTGTTGGAGCAGAGAAAAGACCAGGATTCATCTTCCCTGTTTTAAGTAAAGATGAGTTGCCTTCAYAGTGTTTGTATGAGATGAGGTTTAGCTTGTACTACACCAAAATGTATCTCAGCATCTGTATCTAATTTTGTGTTTTCTAATCAAGGCAGGCATCTCGAATTGATTGACTTCAACAGTTAATTCATCAGTTGCTGGTGTACAATGATTGATACATTTACGAAAGTTTCACAGAAATCTGTTCAGTGATGAGATATTTTGCTAACAGCTTCTTGTTAATTCTTTCACAAAGATATTCTGAATAGGGCTGGAAATGCTTCGTGCACGGCGAACAGAGTTCTATGTTTTCATGTGCCTTTCCATGTTTTTGAATGGACCAGTGCATCAGCATGAGCWCAGCGCCCAGTTACAGCTGCATCTCCTCTGGTCCAGCTGTGAGATTATTGGTGGATTTGAACGAAATGGGTGTTGTGGTCGKAGCCACCTGCCGCAGTCGTTTCCATCGCCGCGTGACGTCGCCTGCCTGTTGCACATCCCGGAGGCACGATAATGACAGATGATGTCTATGTTTAGCAGCAGAATGTGCCGTCCAAATCACAAAACTGACACGTAATTTCAGGTTCTGGGGCTGCTGCTGAGAAATGGGAAAACTGCAAATATTAAACTGATGCAGTAACACATCATACGTTGATAGTGGCTGAATGCAGACTGTGTTTGTGTGCAGGCTGACATATAAAACCACACAATCAGTCTGGAGTTTTGGTAGAAATCATGTGGTGACCTCCAACACCTGTTGGATTATTGATGACTTTCTAGACTTAGTGAATTGAAGATTTCTGCCTTCCTTGGAATGTGCACGATTGTCAGCAAATATTAATTTAAAACCTTTCACACACCTCTCAAGGATTCTATGTGATCTTTTTGGTAAATTCATTTTTGTGTGAATTCAAAATCCACTCTGTTCTCCGGTTTCTATTGTTCTGTATGTTTTTTGCAGTCTAACTACTTTTGCACACTTAGTGCAATTTTAGCCAGTCAAAATGTAGGATTTAGGATATCAAAACGTTAAACTGCCTGCCATGTATCAAAATACGGAAGTGGTTTTTTAACTAGCCTTTTAAGACGTTTAGCTTGTCCCTTTGACTGACCTTTTAGCAATTTTAGCATTGAGCTATCGCTATCCTATTGCTGCATTTATATTTTTAGTTATCATTTTGTTGTTTTTAGTTTTCTTGAGCCGGAAAAGGACAGAGTGCCTTCTCCGGGTCAGTGGGGTCGCCCTGTCTCAAGTGGAGGAGTTTAAG